CTAAAACTGGAGAACGGCTGAACCGATTTGGCTAATTTTGGTCTTGAAATGTTCGTAGAAGACCACGGAAGGTTTAAAAGGTGAGAAAAAAATGTTTCAGGCGGCACAAAGTTTGCCGGGTCAGCTAGTCATATATAAAAATGAAACCCGTTTGCCGTTGTCACGCCATAATTTGATAACGGCTAGACCGATTTGGCTGATTTTTTGTTGTTGTGTTTCTTATTGTCAGGAGAAGGTTCTTATGACTGAAAAAAGTTCTGAAAATCCCACGGAAATGGGAGAAAAAAAGTAAAGTCGCGGGCAGAAGCTAGTCTTTCATATTTTTTATAGTAGTTAATTACTGGTTTTTAAATCCACGAAGAGATTGGTAGTGGTTTTTTTATTCTTTATTCAATAAATAGCCTTTAATCAGCCTTTTTTCGTAAAAGGAACTCGTCAGCCCCAAGCCCCAATGTTTTTGAGAGTGGTTAGATGCTAAGAACTGAAGATGAATTAGTGGCATGATATTAGTAAGGATTAAAATGTCCTGCAATGTACGGGAACAGGCTAATGGCAATGATGATGATAATTGATAACGTACAGTTATTACATCCTTTGGTGACAAAAGGTGTTATAGTTATGTGTTAACAAGGTGTAACCTTGCCCTCTCTAAACATGTTACGCATTATTAACACGAGAATTACGAATGGAAAGAATGCGTTCCGGTCACCATGAATATAATATGTGTTACATCAGGGGTCATCTTGTTAAATATTCATGAATTTTCCATGCCTAGTTAGTTTTAATGGTTTCGTTGATATGTGTTACAGATAAACAGAAACATTAACCTATCTATAATATTTTTAGCAATCTAAAACTTTTAAACAATATAAATAAATTAGATAGATAGATAGATTTTATTGCACTAAGTATTTATTTTTCGTTTAATCCTTACTATTATAAATGGGAAAGTGAGTTTTTTTATTTGTTCCGTTTTCACGCCGTAACTTCTAAACCGATTGCTTTGAATTTTTGCAGACGTTAAATTAGAAGTCCGGCTTAAATAACAGGGTACTTTTTTATCCCGGAAAATTTTGATATTCCCGAGGGAAAACAAAAGAATTGGTCTAGATGGCGCTGTGTATATTGGTATATGTCACCTAGGCTACTGTTATGGTAAAAGCTAGTAGACAATAAATAATAAACAAGATGTCTAGTGATTTTATCAAATCAGTTCAGAAATTGAAATAAATATCAATAGTAGGTTAATATTAAATTAGCTTCAGCCGGCGGCTTTGTCCGTGTTTCCGTGGGATAAAAAGTAGCCTATGTGTTGTTCCAGATCATATAATCTGTTACATCTTCTGTTCCAAATTTTATACCGATCCCTTCACCCGTTTTATATTAGTAAGAAGTAAGATATATATCACTATTAGGTATTACCATCTATATTTGCGTTCATTCATAATCATGTTTTATCCACATATTTTAATAGTTTATACAACGATTAAACGATGTATACATAACATAACATAATATGACGGCTTTTATCCTCGAAGGGGTAGGCAGAGGTGCACATTGTACCACTGTACACACGGCCACCCATCAATCTATACAAAACCAGTTTAACCTGGTATCGCGTCGCATTATCTTTCCGCACATTTAACGTTCAGTATATACTGGTTATGTAAAGCTCGATGTGTAGCCGTGTGTACAATGTAACATCCACTTTTCACTATTATGGTATGAGTCCCATGTAATAGGGGGTGAGCCTATTGCCATATACCGGGTACAATTCCAGACTCCGTGCTACTACTTAATGAGTATTTTTAAAAACCCAGTAATACTTTGCCCTACCCGGGAATCGAACACGAGACCCCTTGCCCAGTCAGTCAATGATGTATACTAATGTTATATAATAAAAAATGCTACTTTGCGGTTTTGTCACAATTGTGGTTTTTCATTATTACCTATATGTTTGTGGTTTATCTATTTTGCATGTGTATGTACATAGAAATGGAGTGTTGTTTCGTGCGAAATTTAGTCTGTCGTCGTTGATGAGGAGAAACGAAAACCTCGCATGGCATCGTGCCAGATGGATGACGAAAATTTCTAACTAAAGCTTTTTCTGGACACTTGATAATTATATAGCAACTACACTTAGTTGTGTGTATTTAGTTGGCTCATCTGCAAGTCATGAAAGTCATGGAGGTCTATATATTCAGCCATCACCTGGTCAATAAGGCATTGTTTTTTTGAGGGTGACAACCATCCAATGATTTCTTCCGCCCGGGTGAGGCGAGAGGGAGTGTCAGACTCTTACTGACTTAAAACCACCTAAGCCTATGATCGATGATAGACGTATGTAGATATGATGGTGGATGATGCTGTATATATATAGGTGAGCTAGTAAATAGAATTTGAGGTTTTATAAACATTCTTAAGATTTTATAATATAATACTTATTGCGTTTGTTATCCTTGATGGACAAGGTAGAGATGACGGTGTCCACCGAATGATGGATGTTATATAAAACTTGCTGTTGCCCGTGACTTCGTCTGAGTGGAATATGAATATATATAAATTTTAGAACATAACTTTTTGTTTCAATTTTCCAAAATTAAAGGAGGAGTATAAAAGTATGTTACTCCTAAGTACAGTACATTACACCTGCCAATAAAAGTCTTGCGCAATAAGTCCAGCCATTCTAGAGATTAGTCAGTACAAACAGACAGACAGACAAATGGTAAAAAATAATATTTTGGTATGTGTATCGTATGTATATTCATAGGCATGTAGAAAAAAGCGATAATTTTAATGTTACAAACAGACACTCCAATTTTATTTATCTATATAGATACATAGATGTAAATAGGTACTTCTTAATCTTAATACAACTTTAGACATGTTATTCTTAAAGAACAAGACAAACAATAGGTATACTTATTATAGCAACCAATGTAAACACTAAGTATTTTATCATCAACATAACTGGTTATGTTATTACCTAGACTTATTGTGACAAGAAGAGGGCCTATTGCAGAATAACATGAGACTGGATTTTATTCTAAGAGTTGGTGTCATTGAGAGAATTTCGAAATTAATATACTCTTAAACATAATACCGAAAGTTCCTGACGATGTATGTTTGTTTATTACTCAGTGACGCACAAAACTACTGAACAGATATTGATGTTTTTGCTCGTAGAGTAATAGTGTCATAGAGTTTGGATTAACAGTAAGTACCTACTAGTCATTTTACATTAGAAGTATACTAACGTGGGCGAAACCGAAGGCAAAGGATGTAATGAACCTACAGCCATAACTGAGTTGTCCCTCTTACAAATCACTTAAATAACAAGGTAACCATAGCTAGACACGTTGGATTTAATAAAGCATATTTGGACTATAATTTTTGTTATAGTATAAGCCGGTACACGAACGAACGAATCACCTGATGGTAAGCAATCGGCGACGCCTATGGATACCTGGAACACCAGAGGCGTTACAAGTGCGGTACCGGCCTTCGAGGTTAGGAATTTGAAGATTGTTTGGGATTTGGAGATTGCGGAGATTGGGAAGGGAGGTAATTGGGCCTCCGGTTACCTTACTCATATGAAACACAACGCAAGCGTTGTTTCACGTTGGTTATCATTAATAGCAAAAGTTAAATGATTTTAGAATCCTAGTTCACATATAACTAAGTAGGCTAGGAAATCCTAAAGATGATGAAGTAATGCAATATAATCGTGAGTGGCCATATTAAATATTACGCAATGTGTTAGGAATCGCGCGGGAAACGCTCGTCATACGTCATCGATTAACTTTACTGCCGATTAGTTTGTGCAAGTTATTAGCACTAAGTATTTACACATAAACCTCTTTAGGTACTGTCTGGAATGCTGTTTCATTGTAGGAAAATTCTTTTTCGTACTTTGTACCATTACTTAGTTAGTTGTCTGTTTTAGGAAAGGATTCCTAATGCGTGACGCGTGAGGATACGTTGAGGTATGTTTTTAGGAAAATAAAGGTATGTTAATATAATAAGACTGACTGCCTCGTCGGCCGAGTGGTCGCAAGTGCCATGTGCGAATGCCGGGAATCTAACCCTTAGATTAGATTCCCGGGTCGAACAAAGTATTACTGGGTTTATTAAATAATCTCAGTAGGCGAGTTAGGCGTGATGTTTTGTTATGTTGTGATCCCTCATAACATAACTTAACATTATGGAATGTAAATTAGTAGTAGTTTCTATTAAATTTTCCTGAAAATACAATCGAATTTGGTCAAGTTGATAAAATATTTTTCACTAAAAGTTTAGGTATTTTTTAAAGTTAGACATGATTAATTTACTAAGTAAAGAGCTAAGTTTAGTTTTGAATTGTACCGATTTATTTGTGGTAAACGCCGATCGAAGTTACGACTGCTACGTTTAACATTGGCTCTAATAACCACAGACTACAAAGACGAATCTAGTCTAACCAAAGATGTATTTTTTTTAAATAATTTGTTAATGTAAACAGATTATATAAAAATTAAATATTGGAGATATTGATGCCAGATGTCAGCACAATAGAAAAAAAATATGTTTTGTTTTGGTAATTACGTGGGTGTACCTACCTACTTTAAATTTTAACACAGTTATTACAAATCGGATTCAGGATTTCGTGATCTTTATGCAATAATGTTTCTTAAGGTATTAACGTTTATAGTTTGTTGTTGTACAATACTTTTGTCGCGTAAATTGCAAGAGTCAAGAGCTAAGAGGCGTAAGTTGAAACCCTAGTTTGGAGGTGTAAGTGTTGTAAGTGGCCCGGCGTGGCCTGCCGTGATTTTGTGGAAAGTTAACCAAATGTCCAGCTATAATTACTCTTGATTACTCACAACCACAAGCGGCCAGTGTAATTAAATATGCGGCATTTTAAAAATGGAATATCGATAAGTGAAGAATTTTTTATTATTTATATTATGTATGTTTAAAAAAATTACGCAATAAAAACCAACAAGTACTTAGGTACTCACCCCGTTAAAAAATCCGAAAAATCAACACTTCATTCATGTAATCATGAATTAAACAATCACTGCACTGGCACAGTTAGTGGCTCACGTCAACTAACATAATAAACTCACACATATGTAAATTATGTGTTATAGTATCTGCATGATGAACCTATTCAATTATCGGATGCAGCACGCATGCGCGGGCTTACTACGAAAACGACGCGAGTATTGGTCAGGCGCGGGCACAACTACTCGCAATATAAACTGCTGTCCAGCACCTCTCGACCTTGCCACTGGACTAGTAAACGTGTCTCCGTAACAACAATCGATATATTCTGTTACAGAAATGATACCGTTGAAGTCCAAGTTCGAATTGCGACATCGAAGAATTCGACCGCGGATTTTTTGCGTAGTGTTTTAGGTTTACGGTTAATCTGTGCGTGTAGCCTTCGGAAATTGAAAATTGAGTAAGGTTTCGCGCGCTTTTTGGTGTGGCGCCATGATTAAATTAGGATAATAGGATTTTTAATCGACTGATTTTATCTATGTGTATTTTGAAAAATTTGAGGTACAATAATATTAGTATAAGATCGAAGTACTGAATACGAAGGCACTGACAATTAGATAGGTACGATAAACTGCATCAACTCCGTGCAATATAAAAATCAATTTACCAATATTGGCAATGATTGCAATACAATATCAATTATTTTTTGCATTGTAAAAATTAAATTGAATGTATGCATTTCAGATACTAAATTGCAATCTAAAATACATGTACCTAGACAAAAAAGAGTTAAATTATATTTCCACAGCTAAATGATATTTGAAACTTTTGATAAAGTTAAATAAAAGTCGGTCAAGTAACCGCTCCAGCCGGGTTTGAAGTTCGACCTATTGATTCCGAACTTCGGCCGCGTTCCCATAAAATAAATCTTGTACAGAACTTACTAATCGTAGTTTAAATTATTCTACAAGTCGTCCCTAATAGTTGTGTGTCAGTATTTGTATTTATAAACAGATGCTGGGAAATATCTACATCAGAATTTTCCATAATAATGCATTTAATTTAACATATTGTATTTTCTCTGAGGTTTGATACAATAGAAAATTCGTTTTTTGTTGTACCTAAATAAGTTTTTTGCATGTAAGTATTAACGGGCCTGAAAAAAAAAATCATTTCAAGATTATGAAAGAGAATGTCATAAAACATAGAGCATTGATATTGCAACCTTCCAGACCTACCTAAATCAGACTTTACTTACCCCCTTCCCCTCTCCCTAATCCCCGAATCTCAAACAATTCTCAAATACCTATTTCCCAAAAGGCCGATAACGCACTTGTAATGGTTCTGGTGTTCCGGGTGTCCATGGGTGACGCCGGTTGCTTACCATCAGGTGATCTATATAGTCTGTTTACTGGCTTATCCCATAAAAAAATATTTTAAGTACGGACTCCACAATTACAACAAAGTATCAGTACAAAAAGTTATTAGTTTTATTTCGGTAATCCAAGCAATGCAAGCTTTATCAACTAACTCCAGATCGATCGATTAAAGACTAAATTAGTTCTATCTTTTTTAGATATATTTTTTAAAAGAATCTACTGGTAGTTTCAGTTTGTGAAAGACTTTTCATGTACTGAAAATGGTATCGGTCCGGTGCGGTACCGGATTGCCGGCACGGAAAATTGAAAATGTAAAATCGTTTGAAATTGAACGTTACACGTGCCACCCGGCTTGAAAGAAAATATGAGCTTCGGTAATTTGATACATTTTGTCCTCACATTAGGTATTTTATAATGATTTGATTGAACTCGGATCTGTTTTAGTTTTAATCATTTTATTTGTCCCTAGTGGACGGAACTCGGATGTAATAAGAACATTTTGCTTAAGAATTCCTTTATATCTGTGACATTACATTATCATCATCATCATCAACAGCCTATAAATGCCCACTGCTGAGCAAAGCCTCTTCTCACACGGAGAAGGTTTGAGCTTTAATCACAACGCTTGCTCAATGCGGGTTGGCGATTTCAAACTCATAATTAGAAATTATAAGCTCAGGTTTCCTCTCGATGTTCTCGTTTACCATTTTTTAGTGATGTCTAGATAATCTAAGAAAGTACATATAACTCCGAAAAAGTCGCATTGGTACTTGCCGTTGGTAGGTTTCAAGCCCGCACTCTCTTCTTCTTAAACATCCAGGCAACCGTGTCATTACACATTATTGAAAAGCAAAAAGTATTTTTACTTTTTAGGCCGGTTCAATGTCATCAAAAATTTGACATAACATAACATCACGCCTTTTTTATCCTCGTTGTGCACATTATGCCACTGTACAATGTAACACCCACTTTTCACTGTTATGAGTCCCATAATAGGGGGTGAGCCTATTGCCATATACCGGGCACAATTTCAGACTCCAGGCTACTACTGAGAATTTAAAGAAATCCACTAATACTTTGCCCGACCCGGGAATCGAACCCGAGACCCCTTGCCGGGCAGTCGCACTTGCGACCACTCGGCCAACGAGGCAGTCATTTGAATAGCAGCTAAATACTATAACACTTACTTATAAGGAAATATCAAGGAAAAACACCAAATAAAATCTAGAACCTTACTATTTTACTGACACTTTTACAAATGTAAATTGGGTCCCTACTCAATACATGTCTTGTATCGATGGTAGGGCCATCTACTGGGCTGTAGGTACCATCTATACATTTACTCTACTGGGGTTTCCACTTCCTCTATCGAGTTGTGATATATGAACGAGTATTTGTCCCTGTATAGTTAGCGGGTGGCGTCACCACAAACATATCGCCGCACTTACGTCTTGTTACGATGTTACTCTGTCAAGAGCTGACGTGAACCCGATCACGGTATTGTGTACCTTGTTAATTTTCTATTTATGTACAATTTACCTTGGGGTTTGTTAGCAGTGTCTTTTTGGATGTATTTAGTGATGTCTATTTTCGTAAATATGCAGGTAATGGTATGATAATGGCCAAAAATATACGCTCGACGTATTGAAGCTTTATAAAAAGATTGTGTTTTTTTTATGGCATAAGACGGTAAACGAGCAGACGGATCACCTGATGGTAAGCAATCGGCGTCGCCCATGAACACCTGGAACACCAGAGGCGTTACAAGTGCGTTACCGGCCTTTTGGGGATTAGGAGTTTTAGGATCATTGGGGATTCAGGAATTGGGGAGATTGGGGAAGGGGAGGGTAATTGGGCCTCCGGTAACCTCATCACACGACGTAACACAACGCAAGCGTTGCTGTTGCTGTTGCCGTGGTATCACTCCGGTCGAGCCGGCCCATTCGTGCCGAAGCATGGCTCTCCCACACTAATGTAATTTTCCAATTTGAGCCTTAACAATAGTGTTCTAGTTCTTCTAGAAGTATTATGATCAGAATAGGGTAGTTTTCTAAATTTTTAATATTCATCTGGTACATTAATTTAAAACTTTAGACACATATTTTTTCTTTTCTCAGTTAATTTAATACTTTCGAAGATATATTAATTTGAAATATCGTGTTTCCACATTTCCTCCCACCTCCCACTCCTTAACTTAGCGCCATTATATCTAAATAGTGCAACTTAATACGAGAAAATAAAAGAAATACGTGTCTGATATTCTTTCATTATCTAACTGACGAAGTAATTAGATTTTTAATTTTGGTACCCTGGAAACTACCCAATTTCCTTGATTTATTTACTTGACCATGTTTAGATTTGGACTGTTTACCTTACATACGCAGCATGCCATTGTATCATTTATCACGTATTTATTTGGTACTTTAAAATAACAATTCTTCTATTCAAGGCGCCACAAATGGAATTGGGGGACGTTAGGTATGTTTTATTTTCACATAGTTACAAATTGTTATACTGGTATAATAACAAATGTACCTCTAAGTTGTAATACCTACATTGTGCATTTTGAGATTAAATTCAAGGCAAACGCCATTTCAGTTCGTTAAAAAGTTGTATTGTGGGATTATTTTTAACCGACATTAAAAAGCAAAAATGAGGTTCTTTGTTTGACCTGTATGTAGATATGTTTGTGCGCTACAATCTCGCGATTGACTGAACCGATTTTGATGCGTTCTTCGGAAAAGTGTTTATTACACTTAGAAGAAGGTTTTAGTGTATTAATTAAATAACCGACTTCAAAAAAAGAGGGCGTTGATATCGCTTCTATGACGTACTTTATAAAACAATAATTATAAACCAACTTATCATAAATCTTGTTTGAACATGTTTACCACATAATATATTGAGCCTACCGTTTAAGTAATAAGCAAATTGACTAACTAACGAGCCTTTTAAAATGTCGGGCGTTTATTAAAAACAGATTATGGTGTTGACCTAATTTGTGCTGAAATAACTTTAGCACAATATATACCTAGGTAGGTCACTCGGCCTCCATATTGTTATTTTACGTAGTGTTAAATAATGGCGCGAAAATAAATGCATAGTCATGTTGATACGAGGAAACATTGAACTATAATAAAAACACAAAATATTGAGTAACATTGACCTTCGGATATTAGAATCTGTATGAGAAGAATTGGAACTGATCAAGGCAAATTTTATGATCATAATTATTTTTATGGGTAATTTATGGATAGAGTTCATGGGTGTGCTTTGCAGTGATTATGTACGAGGTCATTGTGCCATTGATTTTAAAATGTATAAAAATGTAAACTATTTTTTTTTAAGAATATTCCTATTTCGTTTATGTGTGCTACGCCTAGATTCTTCGCAATAATTTAAAATTCGAACAGAAATTGAATTTAGAATTGAAGGTTTTTAAAAGAAAATGGTGACGGTTTAGCACCATGCATTTAAACTTAATGTATTTTTTTAATATTTCAACTGTCATAATTGTTAGGTATGTATAACTACTTATTTATCAATCATTGAAATGATTAACTAAAGTACCTATGTATGTGCGTGCGGCATCGACCTACACGTAATGTATTTATTTTGCTTGGGGCAAGGTACCATTGCTGAACTGCTATCAAACTACTACTTACAAAATAAATTTGGACGATCAATTTACATTACCTACTTATATACTTGTTTTAAATAATTCTCACTTGTAACCTGTTTTTTAGGGGGATAAAATCGTCGAATGTCTTCTCCCGCCTGGGTGAGGCGAGAGTCAGACTCTTACTGACTAAAAACCACCCCGTTCCTACTCCTGCACTTCGACCCGGAGCCCCGGTGACCCGTTAGGTTCTCCGCGGCTCGCACTTGTGACACCTACATGTTCCTTTTGTTATATTTGTAGTAATACCCACATTGTTAATTAATTATATATACTTATATAGAAAAAAATCAATGTACCGCCCGCATGCTTCATACTCTGTACTTTAATTTTAAGTTACCATGTTTTCTCACATCTTAAGTGAATTCATTTTATGAGAAATAAATTCTGAAATCACGCATAAGTACTTTGCATAGAATCGGGGCCTTGTAATCATATTTATTTTAATTTTTACAAGAGCCTTATAGGTAGATACTTCTATAGAGATTGCCATTGGCGTGGGCGAAGTTAATACATCGATATAACTCCGATTTTTACCAAAAGATATTAATATCTATTTACATAATTTAATTAAATAACTCGACGTTTATGACGTGGAACATAATGATTTAAAAGTAAATAAAATGATGAATATTATGCGATGAGATTAACATTGAAAAATAAACGTAAATGATATATTAACTGCATTATTTATGACGATACAGACCACAGATTAAAAAGATTTCATAACTGACCTTCACCTTGTTCCTAGATCATGTAAGATATGCAGCTAACTCGACCCCTATTATGTAAAGATTACGTTCTAAGAATAAGAAGCCTTCATACGTTAGTTATAAAGACTATTTTCGTCGATCATGATGCAAATGAATTAAACAAGTTTTTTTTGTTTTATGTGGGTCATTGTTACTTAGTTACATTTTACACGTGTTATGCGAATTTCGTTGCTATGACCGGAAATTAGAGTGTATTTTCAAGGATATCACGTATTTGCTAATTGGATAGGTGGTTTTGATAAATATTTGTTAACGAAAAGTGTTTTTTACACTTCAGTTCTGGCACTTAGTTCAAAAAATGCATCTATCTCTTTTTTGACTGCATATTCAGCGTTTCTCTGTAAATTAGTTTTGACTTGTTATGTCCTTCTCCTTATGCTGAATTACAAGAAGATTCGTTGAGTACTTAGAAAAGTGCAAAGAGATAGCTAACAATCAAAAAAACTTTTTGAAAATCTTATTTTTAGAGGTATAATATTGGGGTCTCGGGTTCGATTACCGGGTCGGGTAAAGTATTACTGGGTTTTTAAAAATCTCAGTAGTAGCACGGAGTCTGGAAATGAGCCCGGTATATGGCAATAGGCTCACCCCCTATTACATGGGACTCGTAACATAAATAGTGAAAAGTGGGTGTTACATTGTACAGTAGCATTAAGTGCCGTAATGTGCACCTCTGCCTACCCCTTCGGGGATAAAAAGGCGTGATGTTATGATATGGTATAATATGAGTTGGGACCTACACCATAATTAAGATTAATAACCCTTTTTCCATATGGCGTAAGGTCTTGTTTGCCGTGATAAAAATAAAACACAATAGTACAGTAAACGAAACAGACTTTAATTCATCTATTGATATACATTCGTTTCATTTGTTCCATACTATGCATACATACGTAGGTACCCGTGCATTTTGTTAATTGTACTTATTGATACAGGTTGTATTTATTATTTCATTTTGTTTAGAAATTATACTTTCCTATAATTATCTTTAACTCAAATATATTTATAATTATATTATATTGTAAATAATAAATTACAAACTATTGCAAACCTTTTCTGAATTGTGAATTACAAAATAAATAATAAACTACAGAAAATTAATTCATATTTAAATTATTATTCTGTAGTTTATTATTGCACTCTTTAACATTGAACTGTTATAGCGTATTTAACGCTATTTGTTTTCATTTGTTTTTTAATAAGCTAACAATTTATGCATACCAATTTAAACTTACCTAACTTAAAATAGAGGTACTTTCGTAATGAAATTATTTGATACTTTCATTTAAGTAATACATTCATTTTCAAATCAATATTTTAATTTCGAAACCAATTACCATTGCAAAAAATCAGAGCAGACTAACAGTTAATATATGTTTTTTAAGATTTGCATAACCCAATTGTGTTTGTCTGCATGTTTTTTTCTGTTTTGTACATAATTCGACAATAAAATAGTTATACAGCGTAACAAACGCTGAAAATATTGTTTTCTAGATACAAGCTTTGAGTTGGGTCGTGGCTGGGGTGACTAGGCTTCGTATGTGGACCACATATTAAACATCCATTCATTGTACACTTAACAAAAGATCTAGGTAGTCATATAACCTAAAACATCCTTTATAAGCCCTTCTCGAAAACTTTATAGCTACATACAAAAAACTCATGATTTATTTCACGTAATGTGACGTGATTTTATGATGTTGCCTTTATTAAAATGAAAAGTCGAATGCCGAACTGAGGCCTTAGTACAAGTTTGTTTCACGTTTAAAGTAATCGTAACGAGTACGCGTTCGGCGCTGTGATTGGTTGCTTCATTGGCGCCGGCCAATCAGAGTGCCGAACGCGTACTCGTTTCGAATACTTTAAACGTAAATGAAACCCGTACTAAAGCCTCAGCTATGCAGTTTGTCAAATGTTATTTTGTTAAAATTCTCGTGTACTGTAATCAAATAAATTAAAAAAGGTCGGATTTTGTGATATTTGGTAAATTTTGTGTTATTGTGTTATTTAAGTGTGGGAGAGCCATGCTTTGGCACGAATTCGCCGGCTCGACCGGAGTGATACCACGGCCTCACAGAAAACCGACGTGAAGCAACGCTTGCGTTGTGTTTCGTCGTGTGAGTGAGGTTACCGGATGCCAAATTAACTCCCCTTCCCCAATCTCCTCAATTCTTAAATCCCCAAGGCCCAACTATCCTCAAACTCCTAATCCCCAAAAGGCCGGTAACGCACTTATAACGCCTCTGGTGTTCCAGGTGTTCATGGGCGACGCCGATTGCTTTCCATCAGGTGATCCGTCTGCTCGTTTAGCGGCTTATACCATAAAATAAAATTTAATTTTGAATGCGGGATTTATTTAACCAGTTTAAATACTAACAGCAACAGAATAGCAATGAATATTATAGATATTGGTCACATCAATTCGATAAATACATATAAAATCGTATTATGAGCAATAAGAGCTTCATTGCATGATAGCGTTGTAATATATTTTCATATAATTTTAGTGTCGTCATATTTTCTCGTTAGTAAATTATTTCCTTGCCGTTTTACTACATATTTCTTATTACGATGTATATATCTCTATTTCTATTCAACACTCAATACCTTTATTGCTTTTCCGTACCGTTAGTGGCACAGATGTTCTACGTAAGAGCATAAATAAATAGAAGAGAGCAATGAGTATGTTTTAGTTTTTATTTTACCATAAATTCACAGCTCCTTTTTTCTTTCGGCTCAATTTTACAATGCTATACAAAAAGTGTGTTTATTTACCTGAATATAAAGTCCTTTAACGTGTGACGGTTAATGCACGAGTCCAAACAAGGCTTCGTAATTTGAATTACTTTATTGAATTTTACACCGGGTATATTTACAAAGGCTACAAAGCTGAATACTACGGATAAAAAATTCGGTTTTTCTCATTATTTTACACAAAAATGTAAATCGCATACTATATGTAGGTACTATGTTTAATTTACCTAATATGTTACATATATTATTTTAACGAACGTTGGTAGAATTCACAATTGGTCTCGTGTATAATACCTATGTAACTTCGGTATGTTATTTTGATAGTTTTACTTAATATTAAATATTAAAACATCTATTTTCTAACTGCCCTAAGCTGCCTCTTTTCAATCAACTAATTCGCTTTTTTTAAATACAGTCAATTGTATATGCACACTCTAACTCTTTCCGATTTTAAATTCATCGTCTCATTACGTAATTTTATGTATGTATATTCATATTTACTTTAATCCTACATGATATTGTGCTATGCACAAGTACAAGCCTAGACTTCGTGCTATTTTAAAATTAGTGCTCAAATTATATACATGACTAAACTAACTATTAGGTCTAAATTACACTATAGTTAAGTACATAATGTGAGTTCTGACTAGAACACTTTTTACAAAAGCAATAACTAAACTTTTTAGTTTTAAGTACAGAATGATGACATAAAATAATTAAAATAATCCGAACGACTTGGTAAATAATTTAATCTTAGCATGACTTTTAAGTTAAATTCTGCTCAAAAGAGCCGTCTGGCGAGAATGATTAACGTTTGTCATTTAGTTCGTGGTTATTAATACCTAGATAACCTACGTAGGCCTTTCAAAGTCTAAGATTTCTATTGAACCTTTTTCTTAATACTGTGTCACTATTTTTAGTAAAGTCCGCTACGGTTTTTCACGCTCTATTGTACGCGACCTGAAACTCATTCAATGTCCAGTTATTTTCTATGGGGCAGATGTGACCAGTACATTGGCACTTCAGCTACACAATGAAGTGCGCACTTCATACGTTTTCTAAGAGAAATCGATTCACGGAATACTGAAACTCAATATTTATTCACAAACATGGCCGATGTAATTGATTACAAGGTTGGATTTCCTTTTGCTAATGTAGGTACTAAAATACAGATGTAGTAATCAGACAATGTGATTTACGTGATGATTGACACATTTTTACAATAGTTCAGAATCTAAGTGGGATGTCTAGGAATAATTTCATGCGCTCGCCAATGTCGACAATGGAGCGCTCGTCCAATTGCTAGCTATCCTCGCCAGCAGTTTCGTCATCGTCAGCGTCGTCTTCGTCAAGGGGTTGGCTCGTGAGTGCTGCCCAGAGCGGCGAGCGCGCGCCGGGCTGCACCGAGCCCCGCCGCTAGCTGTCCCGATTGCACATCGCCGCTGCCGCTGCCGTACCCATAGCACCCACAGCACCAAACAGTATCGTGCCCACTTCACGATCTGGCGTCACCTCCACCTAAATACAAGCTCTTGTATTTAACTACTTTATTACCACTATTAATCTTAGTATAAACAGATATACCATACAGCTTATTAAATCCGTGATAGTCATCAATAAAGAACGTGCACAAAAGAAGGCCCATCACATGACCTTTATCTGAATTACAATGGTGACGCACAAATATAAACATTAAAGCACTCGAGGATACGTAATGACATACGCAATTTCAATGATGGAACAAATAAAAATCGCTAGAGACAAAATTTATTTGCAATATTGAAGTAGGCATAGGCATTGGATATATGAATATCATTTACATCCAAAATTATACCTATCGAGAATACAGTACCCTATCTCTGAGAAAAAAAGCTTTTTATATTACGAATGCTTTATTTAGCACAGACGAAACTCATGATAAATTCACATTCATATCGTGAGAACAATATAGGACGTTAAATAATCTAGAATCACATAAAAGTCGAGGAGGTTTGCTTGTTTTATTTGAGACCGCGATAAACCGCAGCAAACAGTCAAATGTTTCCCAGTGTTCTTGTAATGTCTCGGCTCCCAGACTGAATGAACGAGTACACACAAGTTTATTGTACGTATTTGTGACTTAGATGTATTCGTGGGACTTAAGTACCTGTGAGAGTGTAGTCTGTTCAGGGTCGGATCGTTCCTCAAGCACGGTGTCAAGTTCGAGAGTTGGCGGAGGTCTTGGCGAACGTATCAGGCTGACAGGTCGCGGCTTCGTCTTCACCGGAGACATCTTTACCACTGACAGTTCCCCACGATCCAATTCACAATTTCGCCGCCTCGCTCGCTCTCTGAAAATATCTTTTGTATTGAAATCTTGAAGGAGAGTTTCATTCACTGTGGTTTGTGGCACTTACACTTATATTGAGACACTACTTGATGGCGCGACAAGATTTTATCAGAAGCTGACTCGACAGATTTTTCGATGAGGTGTTTAATACAGTTATTGCTAAGACAGTTTTCATTTTCTGTAGAACTTGATGAGAATGTTTGTTATCGTTTCAACGCTTACATAATTATAACCAAAGTGCGTATCGGTTACTCGTTCTATTGTATGAGTAGTATTATGCGATAAAATCAAAGCTTTATTATCCTGCAGTGCGTAAAATTGCTTCGAATATTCTGTAGGGGCTGAATTTAACAACAACCGTATACGATCTCAGTTGAATCAATCATCATTATCACGCACATTACGTGTTACTGCTTCCCTTGCGGAACGCATATAGGGGAATTTAGCGGGACTTTACGGGGCAAGGCGGAATCATTTACCAAAATCCTACGCCCTATCGCTTTTCTTATATTAAGTAAGTAAATTCTGAAAATGTTGCCTTTATTTGTTCAACTACCATTTTACACTATGAAATAAGAAATCGTAAAACATGACCTGAATCAAGTAGCACATGAAAAGGTCTTTCGATGTCCTAAATCAACGGAATTTGACCTAAAAGCGAACGAGCGAACCCTGAAGGGTTTATCGTGGAGAACATTACGTTATCGGGCCGGCCGAGTATAGGACCAGAGTGGCTCAATAAATGGCCTGTGATTTCATTACATCCTTGTCATTACCAGTTTGCTCGTAACTCACCTTGCCATTTTGGCCCTTCTCCTCAAGCAGCAGATAACGGTGAGCGCTAACAATGGAAAGCCGAATATACACGATACAATCGGCACTACTATCGATTCCGGTGTCACTGTAACAATAAACATACGTTTAAATTCTTTCTCCCGGCAATTTCCTGTAAACAAAGGACCGCGCACACACACACGGGGCACGTAGCTATACATGTATCAAATAGGTATAAACCAACAAGCCTCGATGAGTTTCAACAATGTATGGGAGTCGAGCGCAGTAAAAACAAGGCGTGTCATTTCACTATTTGTGTTTATGTTTCATTTGTGTACCTATTTATTGTGTTACAGCCACAGGTGTGTGTAAACATGCACTCTAGTCGTTAAAACTTTTGTGTAATTGCACATTTGGCAGCGTAAAACATTCAGGCGGTTTGCGACGAAGCGACGCGACGCTGAGTGAGCGCCATATTGAAATGCAGACTACAATTTACATAGGGCATAAATATTTAGTCGTGTTCGTACAGAGGTTGGATAAATTACGTAATTTTTAAAATATAGTTAGTGGCTCGTGGAAATGGGAGCAGAGTGAAATGGAGCCTAGAGATAAGCATTTTTCTGAACACTGTGGAAGCTAAATAAGTGAGTAAAAGCGCTGACGACGCGATGAGGGCAACTGCCAACCTAATATTTTTGCATGCCTACTTCTTTAAATGTGTTCTACATTTTCATTCTTAATTCAATAGCTTAGAGAGAGCACTAAGTGTAGGTAGGTACATTTGTATTGTTGACTTTTATTGTGAAACGGTAGATAATATTTCATCTTTAATTTAGGTTTTGGTTTTAATTCTTTGTACTTTAATCTCTCATAATTCACTAGTTAGCTAACACTTAAGGGTTATAAGTCACTGAAAGTTATAAATAGCATTAAATAGCTAAGTTCAACAAACCCTAGACTTAAACACAGACTTAGCACAAGATAAGTATTATCTGTTTAGTAAAATGTTCAAAACTTGAACTTTAACTTACTGTTCAACATTTAATTAACACTTGTTGAAATATTTAATTAAAAAGAGACGGTTTAAATTCCCCATCTTGTTTCGTTTGTCAAAAACAGCTGATCGATAGACAGCATTCAAAGTTGGAAACAAGTGAAAATCGGTTTAGGTAAATACGCAACGCTGAGTTACTTTAAAAACTGGACTTTGTTGATTAATTAGAACTCAGTTGAAAGTTATTTTGTCAGGAACATTACTTATTGAAATTAAAAAATTTGGTAGAGACTTTACAATCTCAAAGGTCATATAGATTTATTTTCTTTACACTTTAAATAACTATCTGAGGTAAGACTTCAAATAGTCTAAAGCCAATACGACGAAAACCTCAGAGTTTTATTGAAGTTTAAATCAAATAGAAATAGCTGGAAATTTTTAATCTACTGAGGTTGGGCTAAAAATAGTCGTTTATTATCTATGGTTAGATGGCTGGGTTTACAACGTGCAGTGCTTATGTTCTCGGACGCTCGGCACAGGCAGCTAAGTGCACAGCCTTGTCGACGATAAATGAGAACAGTATTAAACAAGACACTGGCTGTTTGTAGGAGACCATGAGAGGACATTTTACAGCATTTTTTACGGTTAGCAATTTCGTTGCTATTATTTTTCTGAATAAGTGAGTAGCCGGATTATACTAGTGTTATTAAATTAGTATTCGTAATCTAATAATTAAATTAGCGAGTCAACCGTTAAATGTCTGTTTATTTTTCAGACTTATTTATCCCCAAATATTTATAATAACAAAACAGAATGTACAATATTATTCAACTTGATTATTACCTATTATCGAGTTATAGAAATGGTGCACCTCGACTAACGAGGGTTAACCAACTAACAAACTTGAAGATTTCGCTTATTAAATCCAACTGAAATCTGGCCACAAAAGAACAAAATATACAGCGGAAAGGCTAAAATTAGACAACGCCGCTTCCTTCTTTTCATTATAAAATAAATCAGACCCTGATCTCGGTAATTAAATCAACCTTTCTCACTTTAAAAATATTTCGCTGAAAGATAGAACGGTGACTACGGTTACGGTAGGTTCTCTTTCGATCCTAATTACTTTTTCATTTTTTCACTTTCCACCGAAAACGAGCCGGCCGGCATAATGACGTCGGCAACCCAAACTGCTGCCCCAGTTCGCGATAATAATCAGGCAAATTTTAAGCCTCCAGGACATTATGTTGCAATAATGGGTGCTATTCAGAATATCACGATAACAGCCTGAAGCTCTATAAAAAACAAATGACTTTCGGTATTAATTTTGTTTTAATTACAAACGGACTTTGTGCTATTTATACCGAAGGTCCTGATTCGAACAACATGATTAGAATTATCGTTTAAATTATACCATTAATAATACAGAATGGGGTTTACAATAACCATAAACATATCGACCGACCCACCTCAAGTCAGGTGTAGGTAGCTGCCATTAACTTGGTTTATCTCAGATTCCGAATACCATTGAAGTTACACGATTAAGTTGCTGCAAATTACCCATTTAATCACCCTTGTAGTCAGACATTAGACACGCTACTAAGTAGAACACTTCAACTTGAGATGTACTTAGTAGTTACAAGCCCGAATTGGCAACATCTAAGAGATTACACATACATATGTAGATAGCGATTAATTAATGGGTAGCTAATCCATTTCTACGTGAACAATTGCTTCAGTAATTCTTTCTTCGCGAGATTTACGTTTATTGTATTTTGATGATAGAATTAGTAATGTTTCGCAATTCCGTTTTAGATCCAGACGTTGTAAATTGTCTTGCGTCAACGGAAATAACAGACATTACCCTGTGTTCGGAACTACATGTATTCTAAAGCTAGTTTTAGAAAGGACGGATGGGACTATTTACTTGACATTTTACCCTTTCTCAAAATGTAGTACAGAAATATGTAAAGCTGTCGATTTTTGGAGGTACGTGATAATGTAAATTAAATATACGGAGCCCTCGAGGTATTCGCAGAAAGATGAAGGGTCGCAGAAATATAACGAGGTAATTCAGGGGGAGCCATGTCTATTGTGTTGAAATCAGTCTTCGCTCTTCCATTATCACTGTATTGTCGGTTTAGATAACCCACAGGAATGTAAATGCCACTTCCTTGTTTGTAAATATAAGACATTTTTGTTGAGAATTAATGAAGTTTAAATTTAAAACTTAGTTTAAGAAAGTTTCAATTAAAAACTTAGTTAATTAGATTCTTTTATAATGAGCCATATTTTGTGCCTTCGTACTTTGATCGAAATTATATACTTGTGTTAAACTTAACTTTATGTCCAGCTACATTATTGTAGGTGACACTCGCTCCTTATATGAGTATTGCTTATTATTACTTTCACCTTTTGGAAAAACAGAAGTTTCTCAAGACATTATGTATTAATTTTACATAGAAAATGTGCTGATAATATTATGCTACCTGTGGGATAAATAATGATGGGCGTGGGCCTCTTGTTGTTGGCGCTGGGCTTCGGCACGGAGGGGGCGACATTGGTGCTGGTGGTTGTAGTGGTCGGGGCTGGCGTACTATTTGCGAACCGCTCCAGCAGTCGCAGGGGCGGCGACGTTGATGCTCGCGTCATCCTCAACGCTGTCCACAAAATAATTATCTGTTATTCATTAAGTATATCGAATTTTAAGTGTGGGAGAGCCATGCTTCGGCACGAATGGGCCGGCTCGACCGGAGTGATACCACGGCCTCACAGAAAACCGACGTGAAGCAACGTTTGCGTTGCGTTGTATTTTGTCGTGTGAGTGAGGTTACCGGAGGCCCAATTACCTTCCCCTTCCCCAATCTCCCCAATCCCTGAATCCCCAACGATCCTCAAACTTCTAATCCCTAAAAAGCCAGTGACGCACTTGTAACGCCTCTGGTGTTCCAGGTGTCCATGGGCGACGCCGATTGCTTACCATCAGGTGATCCGTCTGCTCGTTTACCGGCTTATGCCATAAAAAAATCCTTTTGCTTGCATAAAACATAAAGCCAGATTTGTTTGCATACGATGACAGTTATCATGTTGATGATGCATTGTCATCAACTGGAAAAATTAAGAAGGGTTATGCTTAAATCGCTACGCTGGATCGGCAACTTGGTGATCGCAGTTGGCAGTTATATCATTGTATTAACAATGCTGCTCGTTTCACTGGGACTCAAAAATTGAACCTTAAATGCCTTAAATGAAAAAGTGAACTGAAAAGTCTTAGACAAGCCATACTAATGCATCTCAAATTTTCTGCCGAAATAAAATCTCTTTTTGTTCCGCAATCTGCCATAAAAATAGTAAACAAGACTCCTCATCCTCAGTGTAGCCACATTAGAAAATTATGCATAATTTACAAAGGACCAGGTGTTTTACCGCGAGGGTAGTGGCAGTCGTTTGGTGGAGACAGATTAGAGACACTTAACCTCGGTTGGGTTCACGGTTCAACCTGCCAGGCTTTTATGTCGACCCCAAACATTATTAATACCAGTAATTTAACGAAATTCATCAAGATTTTGAGGTAGATGCAAACAGTCGATCAAATATTCCTACCTGACCTAAATTATTTTTTTTTAAACACAAAGGTGGTGTTTTGTGTACAACTGGTAATTACTGGTATAGACTTTACGAACTGTATCTGCCAGCTCTTTGGGGTTAAAGCTACTGTTTTAACTACTGTCACTGCACACTAAACAAGCACAGCTCCGACAAGGCTCCGGTACGGCATTTTTTTGCAACAAAAAGGTTGTAAGCACACTGTCTGTGGGCGCGCAGTGCTTACAGCTTTTTCTAGTGACGTTATGTAATATGTCATACGACATACGATTTAAAGTTAATATTTAAATGACAATGACATTGCTAGGTCGGAGCCGTATCGGAGCACACGTGTAGGCACAGAAAAATGTATTATATCTATGTCGATAGGGTATTTTTTTTTAAGGGGGGAAAATCATCGAATAACTGCTCCCGCCTGGGTGAGGCGGGAGGGAGTGTCAGACTCTTACTGACTAAAAACCTCCCTGTTCCTTCTCCTGCACGTCGAGTCGGAGCCCAGGTTACCCGTTAGGTTCTCCGCGACGTCGGTAAGGTATGCGATGACATTAAGGGTTTCCGTAACAGCCTGTACGTATTCTAAAGAATATTTATATTTTGGTGTAACTTCATGTGCTTCCGTACTTATGTTCATAATCATTTTCTCATACAAAATCCCTTTGTTAATAATAAAAAAGTTGTAAAGAAAAGAGGTAAAAACGTTTTGAGTATCGCTGTAGCACACACTCGAGGTGTTCGTAGCATTTCGTAGCTCCAAGTACTTCAATATTCCTCGGATTCTCATGTCCCAAATTTGTTATTGTAACACGTACATAATTGTATTGTAATATTTGTATATTTACATGCAAAAGCCTGGCTTATCGTAACATTGTATTAGGTCTATTTTTGTACGCAATTTCTCTGTTATTATACACATGAAATTAGGGGCGATTCTGTTGCTCACAGGTAATTTTTTGAACTTCATGTTTACTAATAATAGTATTATCGAGGTTGGAAACCTAAATATCTATTTGTTGAAAGTTCTGGGTGCTTATGATAAGCAGCACAAACATAGATAGCCTTTGAAATTATAAATAGACTATGGTAAAACCATTTTTTCAAGATACTTCTTCATCATTTCTAGATAGCATTTACCGTGCTATATTTCACATCGATCACTATTGTATTCTGTTTTACGTGAGCATGGCTGCTTCGGCATCAATGGGCCAGCTTGACCGGAGTGATACCAACGCCCCCCACATAAAACGCTTATGTTGCGTTTGTGTTTCGATGTGTGATTGAGGCTACCGAAGGCTCTTCCTCTTTCTTAAAAGGCTTGCAACGCACTTGAACCCTCTCTGGTGTTAAGGGTGTCCATGGGTAGAGCTAATTGCTTACTATTAAGTGATCCGGGTGAGGATTTGCCCCCATCCCATAAAAAAAATGATAAAAAATTACGCAGTACCTAGGTACACGTCCAAACAACAAACTAAATTCAAATTAAATTTTCATCCTTGCATCCCGAAGATTAAATTCGACTTGATAAGCGTCAATCAATTCTATTTCAATATCAAATATTGAATCAGAATCGTCAATTTGATTTCGTTATTATTATTGGTGGACCGAATCCCCAATGAGTTGTTTCGGAAATGTATTTGTTATTCGACATTTGGGAATAATAACGACATTTTATATTTGTGTATCGAGTTAAACAATGGCAGGGTTTTGTGTTGCCAATGCCTCGAATGACTTGTTTGGTTTTGCCTTTGATTGTTCGAAAAAGTCCCTATAGGTACAAGTGCCCATTGTATCATTTACTCTACCCTGTTTTTTAATTGAATTATTTTTTATCTCGTGGTTCAAGTTAACACTACAGTCGCTGTCGATGATGCGACTTTCAGATTGTATCATGATTGAAATTTCTGTACAGGTGTAGATTCCGTTTCTTTATTAACAGGTCAAGCGTTTTGACTGACGAGAAATTGGAGTGCTGAAAAGAATAGTCATTCGCTCTTTAAAAAAAGACAATGTTACGATCCACCAATCATAGAACTTCACAACTAGAAGTGCTATATACTAAAGTAACAGATATCTGTCAGTACGAGTGCCACATGAAAATAGAATCCCTAGTAGGATGCAGTCACAGTCTATTGAAAAAGTTTGACAGTCCGCCCGGGATTAATTGGTTTCAAACGTAACAGTTTGTTAGAGTCTATTTATAGACTCAACAATCATTGTCCGTAGACTTACTTGATCTTATCTACTTATGTATCAAGTTTCTGATGGTTCAGTAGGCCAAGAAATAGAAGCTTTTGAAGGTAGACTTTTCGCTAGATGGATTAAGTGTTCCCTTTTATTAAACGACTCAAAAAAAAATATGTATGTACGTGTGTATGTCTGTGTGTAATTATCTCGCTATTGACTGAACCGATTTTGAAGCGGTTTTCAGATAAGTGTTTATTACACTTAGGAAAATGTTTTAATATATAAATTAACATACTTAAAACAAGGGTTTGAAGTTCGTTTTTTTAATGGAGTTTATAAAAGAATTATAGCAATTGAGAATCGTAGTAATAATACATTTTTTCGTGTCTCGACAGAGTTTGAATCTTCGTCTATTTGCTTACAAACTTGCTATGGGAAGAGCAGGTCCAGTTCATATTTATCAATGGTAAATAGCGTAAACAAACCACTTAAAAAATTACTTGTACTAATTTATTTTTCGGTGTGTCTTTGTCGTATTATTAAGCCTATAAGTGGCCTACACTGACCAAATGCCTCTTCTCACATAGAGAAGGTTTAGCGAAGATATGTATCCCTTTACTGGGCTGACTACGAAAATAGGTTGTTTACCTACAAAATACTGTCTAACTTAGTACTCCTATTTCTTAGAGCTCAGTTACTTCATTAATTTAACAACATAGGGTAAGAATTTAGTGTACATAAGTATAACGGAGATCTAGTTTCGTGACATCCAGTTGCGTTGATTTCTATATAAGTACCTATATTTTTTATACTTGATAGGTCGATATTTGTCCACCATCTCGCCTGGTGGTATATAAGCGATGATGTGGCCTATCTAATCTTAAATTCAAATTCATTTAATTAATTGTGAACATAGGTACCATTAGGGTCTTAAATAACATTATTAAACGCTATGTTAGCTTTTTCAGCATACAAAATTAGAAAATAGTTGGAAACAATGATTTGGATTGATTATTATTACTGAATGTCATTAGAATGATTAATTATTAGGTCACATAGGATTATAAATTTAAATGTCACAATATTGAACAAACAGATATCTTCGATATAATGTTCTATATACTCCAATGTAAATGTAGCCTCGAGTCATGTTGGAGTTACATTAACAATCACAACAGTAGAGTTTATTTGATACACTCAATTACATAGCAAAACAATAACAAGAGGTTGATTGTGTTAGTTATCATTTCATATTAAGTGAGTCAATATTTTGTTGGCATCATGGCGTCTTATTTTCGTGCCATTTCAATAAAGTTATGAAGTCCTCAGTTTGACCTGATCTGTATGAACTAGTTCTGTGTGAACCAAATTTTTTTGTTGTTACACTTACAAGAAGAATTTAGTATATTAACTAGCTGACCCGGCGAACTTCGTACCGCGTAATACTCTAACCTACTCTATCCCACTCTACCCTTCTCTACCCTACCCTATTCTACCCTACTCTACCCTAATCTACCCTACTCTACCCTACTCTACTGTACCCTAAATAAAAAAATAGACTATCCTATCTCTCAAGTTGGATCGAACTACACATGGTGTGTGAATTTTATTATAATCGGTTAAGTGGTTTACCATTGAGGACAAACATTGTGACACGAGATTTATATATATTAAGATTAAGAAAAAAAAGAACAGGATTGAGGTCGGTTTTTTGAAACTTAGTTAGAATTATAGCCAAATGAGTTATACACGACGTTAATAATAACAATAGGTAGTGTATAACAGTAATTCATAAGACATTAAGTTGGATACCAAAAGTATAATAAATGTCCATTGACGGTGTATGTAGATATTTTACTTTACCTCCCGTACTAGTCAAAGACTAATTAATGATCACTAGTGGTTGATTATTCTGACTTCTATTCGTCTTCTTAGAGAGGTTCTCGTTTTCTATCTCTTTGAGCAAAGGCTTGTACGTCTACTAAGAATGTTTAAAGTCAATAACATATATATTTTTATCTGAAGTTTCTGTCGGTTACGAAGTCTAAGACCTCGATGTTATTGCTTATTCTCAGAAGTACAGGATTATGTACAACACGTTTTAGAATAATACAATATTTACACAGCGCAGGGAGTGAAACATCAATTTGATTTTAAACAAATTTTCTCTTTCCATTCCGGCATCGGTTCGATGTCTGTCGACGAACGAATCAAACATTCATCTTGTTCAATCAGTTCTTATCTCACAGTATAATGAATCTTAAATTGAAAAGCGTGAACGTTCATTTTCTAATAATTAATGTAATGATCATTTTGGAGGAGTCAGAAATTTTTTCACAAACTCTATTACAAATGAGTACAATTTATGAAGAGAATTAAATGAAGATCATTTGATTAGAAATCGAGATATATGTATTGTTATTGAATTTCAATTTCAAAAAAGTATTTAGAACTTAAAATTAACTACAAATAAACTATTGAATAAAATGAAAGTAAAAAAATTAGTTAGTTTTAAAATACACAAGTTAGCTTTCTTCCCACTAGCAAGGAAACTAAATCAAAGGTAACATAATATAGTAGGTGCACTCACGTTTAAACAGTTACATTTTTAGTCCATCGTAAAGTGCCAATCTTATGTCAAATACTAGGCATAATTCCAGACATTGTGGTTGGAGATTTAAATCAAATTCACCTAATTTCTGCTAATTCCATTACTGTACAATCTGGAAAATTACAGAACTTTCGATATTGTTTCTCTCTACTAATGAACCGTATTATTCTCTTACTATGAACATTAAACAAATTTAGAGAAGATTAAACGCAATATCGAAAAGTTAATATAACTTCAACAGTTTCAAGAGATACTTAGTCAGGATTTTCGAGCGTTTCATGGCTGTCCGCGACCCAGAAATAATTAATTTTTAACGTCATTAGCAAAGAGCAATCATATTTCAATCGATACGAAAGCTTTTAGCTTCTACGTAAGTACTTAAGTGATTTTCCAAAGTTATGCCCCAGAAGGAAGTCTTGATTAGTTTTTGTTTCCATCAATATTCTTGTCACATCATAAACGACATAGCCTGGACTCGATGCGGGTACATAATTGATATGCTGTATTTAGAAGCAAATGAGCTGGTACACCACACATGTCGTTCTGCACTCACCGATATAGTGCGCCGCTATGCACTTATCGAAGTAATCCTCGGTACATACATTGCGAAAACTCTCAACTTAGTCAAAAAACTTTAAAACAATATTTAGAAATTCCAACATCGATGTTCGTATGTTACGTGTTGGTATGGTTTACGCGGACTGGTATCGGGAGCGCGCGACGAGCGGCCGCTCTGGAGCTCTCCCGCCGTAACACTGAAACCCCGAGCTCGACTGAAACCGAAACATTAGGGAGTCGGTGCATTTCGTACGACGACCCGGTTCGTGGCACTTCACTAATGCCGATTCTAGACAATCCCTTTTGAATCAAACAAAACTTACCTACGGAAACTCGTCGCTTGAATGGGTAAAAGCTTTTCTACGGAAGGGTTGAGTATCCATTATGTACGAGGATTGATATAATTAACACGCTCCACGTGTATATATTGTGCATTCCTAGGAAGCAAAGAGTACGCTTTCAATATATCATTATCTGAGAACATAGGTAGAATAAAAAACTGTCTCTATATATGAGAAAATCCTTAAATCCGGTAGCCATGAATATCTAACACACATAATGTTTTTAAACCTAAATACTATAATTATAATAATTCATGACTTTTGAAGTGTCGGTGATAAAATAATTTCGCGTAATCAGTCCGCTTTTCAGCGGCATTATTTTATTGCCAAAGTTGGACATTTAATCATCGTTCTGCGTACAAGAGAGAATAATTTGTGATCATTCAGATATTCAGGCCGGTTTTATTTTCAACTGGGCCATTAAGGACGGGTTTTCTTTGCTTCGACAAAGAATACAAACAATATTGACAGTCATTGGACGTAATGGAATTTGGTGAAAGTCAACTTTGTTTTAAGAGCGAACTGCACCATTTATCTGAAGTGTTCGGGATAACGGTAGCCTGAAGTATTTTTACAATCTTTTTTGTGTATTTTTATGTGATTATTGTTCCTTTTATCCTACTACTTACTATAGGGTTCTCCTATTCATCACGTTTTTGGAGGAAAAATCATCCAATGTTTACTATCGCTTTGAGTAAGGCGAGTGTCAGAATCTTACTGACTAAAAACCACCCTTGTTTCTACTCCTGCTTCGAGCCGAAGCCTTGTCCGTAACCCGTACAGTTGTCCACGGCTCCGGGCTACACGTTCTAGACTTCGATTTCTGGATCAAATCACAGTAACATCGGTTCCGATTATAACGATTTCTTTCTATTTCATACTTTCTTTTTTTTTTTCTTTTTTCTTTTAAAAAACGTTGCCCCACACTAGGATTTTCTCCTGTATCGTGGGTGCGTTTACAAACATACAAGTTCACATACACAATGACACCCAGACCCGAAACAACAATTTGTGGGTCACACAAAGTGTTGTCTCGTGCGGGAATCGAACCCGCGACACGTTGCACGGCAGCCAGTTGCCCAGCCACCGCACCAACCGTACTTTCTAATTTAAGAACTGAGGCCCAATAACCCCTTCCTGTCTCCCCAGTCCCGGAATCCTGCACAATCCTCAAAACCCCAATTCCCAAAAGGCCGGTAACACACTTGTAAATTTTTTAGGTTTTAGGTGTTCATGGGTGGCACCGATTGCTTACCATAAGGTGATCCGTCTGCTCATTTACCGGCTTATATCATAAAAAAAGAACTAAACTTCATAGTGGTAAGTTAGATTTAATAGGCAGATCGTCAGGTAAATACGTTTAATATCATGTTAATTTGATTTGTACATTCTAATTTGAGTAATTAGTAGAGCAGTTATATCTACTTAATGACGGTCTAAGTCTCCTGCGCCAGGCTTTAAAGCTTTTATTTAATTGGAGTAGAGTAGGTAATTTCGTTATTTTTTCACGCAAATTTTATTTCGCTGAGAAATTTCGCTAACTAGTTTAATTTTCATTTACATTAAAGTCCTTAGAGAGGTCTCAAGAAAATATAAAGCACGATGAAGGTAATTCATTCTTATTTCTTTATTTCGTAAATGTTTGTTCATCTCTTTAAGCTACTTTAATGTGATATTAACGAGAAAGATTAAAAACTAAAAAGTCGTGATGAGTTTTTGTAATGTAAAATTTTAATTAAGCAATTTAAGGTTTAAAATTGCATCATTTATTTAGTTATTGTTGCTCTAAACTGTATCTACTATTTAATGCAGGCTCTCATTTTGTTTATGTGTTTTATGATCTTTGATGTGTGTCGTTACCAAATTAGGATAAATTGGGTAGTTTTCAGGGTATCATTTTTTTATGCAGACATTAAAAGGAAACTACCCTATTATTGGTATTCATTATCATCATCAACAGCCTATAAATGCCCACTGCTGAGCAAAGCCTCTTCTCACACGGAGAAGGTTTGAGCATTAATCACCACGCTTGCTCAATTTGGGTTGGCGATTACAAACTTATAATTAGAAATTATAGGCAAGCCCAGGTTTCCTTCACCGTTTGTCAGTGGTGTCTAAATAAATAAATAAAACAAATATTGGTATTAGTTAGTATTTATTTTATTTACGTTTATATTAGTTGTAAATAAAAGACTAATAAAGATATTTAAAAGGATAAACTGAAATTACTGTATAGATAAAATCATCCTACAGTCAGTTAATATGGAATTAACAGTTCATATAAATTTGGTTAATGAGTAATGAATATATCTTTCCTTCCAACATGTACAGTTAATGTAAGTTAGAGACGAAGGCCATATTAACACGTGCAATTATGTATCTATTTTGATATCTGACTTATATTACAACTACAAACAATAAAATTTCAACTGAAACTCAACAACAAACGCATAAATCTATTAAAATATTGCTTTATTTATCGGATCTCTAAATCTTATGAAGTTCAAAGCGTGATCTTTTTATAGTTTTACTGGAAAGTCAGTCTAGACTTGGACCATATAATTTGTATGATAACAATTTCCCACTCCCAGTAATATATGTTTAAGGACATCCACTTGATTTACACTATAACTTTGATAATCACACACCTATTGTGAGACATACTAAATTTATTAAATATCGCAGGTTACTCACGTGAATATACTGAGAAAAGATCTATTAGTTTTGAACCATTTGGGAATTGGAGATTTGAGGATTGTGGAGGATTCCAGGATTGGGGTGACTGGGGAGACTAGAACGGGGGTTTATTGAACGAAATATAAAGAAATCGTCTAAAATCGGAACCGATGTTACCGATTTGGGCCAGAAATCGAAGTCTAGAATGTGTAGCCCGGAGCCGCGGACAACTGAACGGGTTACGGACAAGGCTTCGCCTTGAAGTAGGAGTAGAAACAAGGGTGGTTTTTAGTCAGTAAGAGTCTGACACTCGCCATCGACATCGCCGCGACCGTGCACGCTGTTCATGAGGAAGAACACCTCTGTGGGTTGAAATTATTAGAGCTTTTCTCAGTATAATCACGTGAGTTAACCGCGATTTTTAGTTACTTATACACCTATTTCTCACTATGGCAAAACCTGTATACTATCTTCCACAATAGGTAAACAGATATATGTAATACTATGTTATCAACATACATCACGAATGTAATCCACACATATCCTGTCATCTGCTTTGCCGTAAGATGAGCACATATTTCGAGGAACGATATCGCCTTCCCTTGGGATGAAAGTATGAGAAAGCTTTTATGTCGTGTAATACACGAACAAACCTTCAAATATATATAAATATTATTCAGATACAATGACAAAGTGTGTATCTGTTACTTTTCTATTTGTATCTCTATATATTTTACAGGTTAGAAAGAATAAGGTTATATTTTTTATTGTACGATAGTTTTCTACCATTAACTAGCTGTCTCGGCAAACTTTTTATCACCAAAATGTTTTTCTTACCTCTCCTAGACTTCCATGAACATTTCAAGACTAAAATTAGCCAAATCAGTTCAGTCATTCTCGAGTTTAAGCGACACTAATGAACAGCAATTAATTTTTATTTATTATAAGACTCTTTTGAATCTTTTGAAAAATTTAAGAGTATGCGACCCTGGAATCTAATGTGTTGTAATATAACAATTAAAAAGATTGTCGGACGCATAAATAACCCTTGTCTAAAGTCAGGTTCATTGCAGCTGTTATTTTTCTTGGTATATTCATCCTTTTTGTCAATAATAGTTTGTCCAACCCAATAATTGCATCAAACAAACCAATAAAGAAGTCCAAGTTAACATCTACCTTATCTATTATTACAGCGCAGAGAGCGGGAGTCGGACAGTTTTTCTTGTATCGACAAAAGATGGCTAGTTCTATTGTTACAGAATGATCTTGTATTTTTGTTTTCTACTTTTTCTCAGCAGCCGTTGATTGAAAAGTGTATACACACAGCATACTTTGTTTGTATTTCATCGATGCTAGAGTTAAATACATTTCAATTACTATTCGTACGCGAAACTAGTAAATATTTGTTTTATTTCCAGTCTAAGATTAACTGGCGAAGTATTAGTCAGATTTTCCCTCGTAATATATATTTCATGGCATGTTTATTTGCACGTGTTGAAGAATGTTGCACACGGTACGTTCAATATGTGTCCATTGACGAGAACCGATGTTTGCGAATGAGCGCAGCGATACTTTTATAGTCGAAACCAATTCCGTTGCTGAATACTTGAATACTGAAGCAAATTCTGCTGTACTTAGAACTGTTTTGTTTATTTATTTTTTATTATATTTATAAACATAGTGCATCAATTGGAATTCATATCTTATCTATTTATTCAGGCTAATGTCGTGCGGGTCGTGTTTATTGTTGATATTTTTAAGAAAATAAATATCGTCTTATAACGGCGATGAATGTGTTAAAGAAAATTCACATACTAGTTGTTGCTCTCTAGTCTAGTCCACATCGAGTTTTAAATGGTGTAACAAACACAACTTTATTTTGCCCTAACTTTGTCAGATTATGTATACTACGTAAGTACTCTAGACACCTAAATAGGTCCAATGTAAATAGTCTGAGGCCTTAGTACGAGTTTCATTTACGTTTAAAGTATTCGTAACGAGTACGCATTCGGCACTCTGATTGGCCGGCGCCAATGAACCAACCAATCAGAGCACCGAACGCGTACTCGTTACGATTACTTTAAACGTAAAACAAACTCATACTAAGGCCTCAGTTCACATACATGACGGTTGAAAGTCTGTTTTTTAACGAGTGTAGTTTCACT